TTTTATGGTTAACTCACAATAACACGTGTAACTCCTGATAGCTTAGCAATTCGGATAATAAGACATAGCGCCGTCGCAAGTGAACACTGAATCATGGTATAAGAATTATTTTTGTGTAGCGGTTGCCGTGCTCGACACGATGCGGTATAAAATATAATATAATATAGGTTTTATCAAATATTTGTAACTCTTACCTATTAGTTAGATCCGTGCCTTTCTATCTATGGACGGACGGACTACGGAGACTTAGTAAGTAATAGGGTATTTACCCATTGGAGATGTACCCATAAAAATGAGACGATAAATACCAAATTTTATGTATACTTAGATTTTGTTCTATTGCTATTTGCTGCTTTTTATCAACACAGCACGCGGGCGAAAACTAGTTATAAAATAAAAATGGTGATTAACCACCCGCACCTGCCACAGACGGATGCACGCTGTGTGTGGTTAAAACGTTGATGTGTCTATGCAATCTTAGTTAAACATTTATAAATTATACACAAAAATTGTCAAAAATCAATTTTCTGAACGATGATGATGAAAAATTATCGATATGAACCTATTTTACGAATATGTCGCATCCCTAAATGAGTAGCGTCGAAACTACTATAGTCAGACTTTTAATTCGATTCCTGATTTGACATTGACCACTGTCATTTTGTGAAATAATGATACCACATATAACAGTGTAGTGATGAACACAAAAATCGATAAACAATCAGTGAATCAGTTTCAGGAAGGCATTCAAAAAATTACGGCTACCGAATGGTCTAAATGTGTATCCCATGTTGTCAAAGAAGAGGAAAAAATGAGTAAGCTAGATATGTTAATTGACAATAAATATCAAAGACACAATTCATAATAAATGTTACATAGAGTAACGGCGATAGCAATACCGATGACGGCGACAATTTATAAAATGTCTGTTTTATTTGTCACGTTCCTTCATGATCACATTTTTTATTAATTTCACACACAATTACAAAAGAAAAGTCTCAGATAGTTAATTAATTGTCAAAACTACATTATCCGTTCAGAAATATTTTATTTCCTGATAAACTTAGTATAAGAGAGTAAATTTATAAACGAGAGGAATCGATTCAGAAATATTCGATTTCCATTTCGAATAATTTCGCAACGTCACTATTTATTACGTGTTATAACGTTGCAACACTGAAATTGTCAAATCTGGAATGCAGCCTAGCGCAACTTAGAAGAAAAATAAAAATGTATGGGCTTGGCACGGCAAATAATGGCACACGGAAGTAGCCGGATATTGCCATCCCACTCCCTCAGTACAGTTCTCTTTCTTTCACTAATCCGTCGGCCATTTTAATTGAAGTTTTGAACTTTGAATGTCGTTGTTTTTGTAAGTTTATGTTGTTATTTTCATGATTTCATAAATTTACGTATAATTTGTTTAGTTAATTAGTGGTTAGTGATACGGCTGTGACTAGTTACGTGTTCAAGTAAAATGCCACCAAAAAAACGGTTTCTAACTTGTGAAATCTGCGGAGGACGATCCGGTCGTAAAAATGGCGAGAAAAGGATGTTTATGGCGAAATTTCCTTTGGATGAGGACCGGTAAGCATTAAATGATATAATTTTATTTAATTCTAAGTATAAAAGGCTACAAATACATGTAAATTGATTTTCATGTACTTATTGTGTACTAGTGATGTACCTCAAGTATCGATAGTCACAGACTTATGTGTGGGCTAAACTCCAAAGATCCCTTGATTTATTTATTCTTTCGTGATTATGATTTGCGCAAGATGGCTGGCAGGAGCTGGATGCGAGTGGCCGAAGATCGATCCCAGTGGCGTGCAATAGGAGAGGCCTATGTCCAGCAGTGGACTGAAAAGGGCTGATGATGATGATGATGATGATGATTTACTTTCCAGACCACACCAAAGAAGTAATGATGTTATTAGATGTTGTTGAACAAAGTTGTGACACGATAAACCCAGTAGATTTTAAGAAATTAATGATTAAACGTAGATAAAAATGTATGTATACTGTATTCGTAAAATTTATTCATTTATTATATAAGGAACGCCAGCTGTTTACACAATTTAGAGTTATTCATGTCAGGGACTGTCCATTTTGATTTTTTCCATTTTTCAGGTGCCGGCAGTGGGTGAAAGTTGTTGGCAAAGAAGATTTAGTGTATGTGCCCATAGAACCAATTTACTGAACCAATATATGTATTAAGTATTAGAGTCCACTTAATTTAAATAATTTTAGTTAGGTCCTTAACACACCGTCCGTATATAACATGAATTTGAATATTATTACAAAAATATATTTTTTAGTTTTTAATATACCTAATACAATGTTTTATTTCAAATCCGAACTTTATCTTAAAGATCGAAACTAAAAATTAAAAAAGTAATATGACCTTGATTTCTACCCTATAAATATTATCGATATCGATACTAAACCTAGTATACAGCTACCACAGAACTATTTGGTCTTTTAGGTTGGCACCATTGATTTTGACGGCTGACATCTTTTATTTATTGCAATGTAGGTATTAGAGTGCCGTGTAAATTGATTCCACTGGCTTGTATGGGAGTCCCGTCTCTTAAACGTAGTGGTTACATACTCTTTGCTGGAATGGAATAAAAATTCCGAGTATAGAATGTATTGTATATAACGTCACATAACGAACAAGTAGATTTAAACTTAATTGTAATGAAAATAAGGCCCTTTATAGTTTGCATTGAAGTAATGAAATGTGATATTTACATTAAAATCAAATATATTTAAAATTAACAAAGGTTAATAGGTACTCAAAGATGATACGATACACCACCACAAGACTCATCTTTTTTACTGCTTACTTTTTTGCAGTTGAAAACCGCACAACAACAATGATGTATAAAACTATAGATACGTGTTCCGCGCTCTAAAATGACAACATGAAATGAAGGCAATTGACAACATCGCGCTTAGTTACGCACCAACCTGCCGCGTGACGCTACGTTTGTTTTTAATTTATATCGTGTGTGTATCCCTGTGCGAAACATAAAGAAAGCATGTCGTCGTGTGTGTTCAGACGATGTACAAATTAAATCTAAAAAGTTAAAGACAAAAATGTGTCATTTCATGCGTAAGTTCACCAAACAATCTATTTTTATTTTATTTTTTCGACGCCGGCGCCCGCCATCTTATGGCGGCCGGCGCCCGCCATCTTCAGCCTAGCGCAACTTAGAAGAAAAATAAAAATGTATGGGCTTGGCACGGCAAATAATGGCACACGGAAGTAGCCGGATATTGCCATCCCACTCCCTCAGTACAGTTCTCTTTCTTTCACTAATCCGTCGGCCATTTTGTTTGAAGTTTTGAACTTTGAATGTCGTTGCTTTTGTAAGTTTATGTTGTTATTTTCATAATTTCATAAATTTACGTATAATTTGTTTAGTTAATTAGTGGTTAGTGATACGGCTGTGACTAGTTACGTGTTCAAGTAAAATGCCACCAAAAAAACGGTTTCTAACTTGTGAAATCTGCGGAGGACGATCCGGTCGTAAAAATGGCGAGAAAAGGATGTTTATGGCGAAATTTACTTTGGATGAGGACCGGTAAGCATTAAATGATGAATTTTATTTAATTCTAAGTATAAAAGGCTACAAATACTTGTAAATTGATTTTCATGTACTTATTGTGTACTAGTGATGTACCTCAAGTATCGATAGTCACAGACTTATGTGTGGGCTAAACTCCAAAGATCCCTTGATTTATTTATTATTACGTGATTTACTTTCCAGACCACACCAAAGAAGTAATGATGTTATTAGATGTTGTTGAACAAAGTTGTGACACGACAAACCCAGTAGATTTTAAGAAATTAATGAATAAACGTAGATAAAAATTTATGTATACTGTATTCGTAAAATTTATGCATTTATTATATAAGGAACGCCAGCTGTTTACACAATTTAGAGTTATTCATGTCAGGGACTGTCCATTTTGAATTTTTCCATTTTTCAGGTGCCGGCAGTGGGTGAAAGTTGTTGGCAAAGAAGATTTAGTGTATGTGCCCATAGAACCAATTTACTGAACCAATATATGTATTAAGTATTAGAGTCCACTTAATTTAAATAATTTTAGTTAGGTCCTTAACACACCGTCCGTATATAACATGAATTTGAATATTATTACAAAAATATATTTTTTAGTTTTTAATATAACACAATGTTTTATTTCAAATCCGAACTTTATCTTAAAGATCGAAACTAAAAATTAAAAAAGTAATATGACCTCGATTTCTACCCTATAAATATTATCGATATCGATACTAAACCTAGTATACAGCTACCACAGAACTATTTGGTCTTTTAGGTTGGTACTATTGATTTTGACGGCTGACATCTTTTATTTATTGCAATGTAGGTATTAGAGTGCCGTGTAAATTGATTCCACTGGCTTGTATGGGAGTCCCGTCTCTTAAACGTAGTGGTTACATACTCTTTGGCCATCTTATGGCGGCCGGCGCATGAAGGTATAGTCACGTGCCGATGTAACTGAAGATGTATATTTATCTCCCTCTAGCAAAGGCATTCCAATTTCCACTATACGATGTCATATTTTCTTTCCCTTTCTTTACTCGTAGAAGTAGTTATCTAGTATTTTCGCCGTTTTTAAGCGCCGCGATGTTGGTTCATGACGTGTCTATATATAATACGTCATTGCACAACAAGGCATAATTTCTAATATATCGTGTTTCTTAGAGACAACCATGACAACCAATCATGACAACGGATCGAACGATTCTGACAACAAATGTGCCAAAATGTTGTATATCTAGTCATGATGTTGGTTAGCGCGCGATGTCTGAACGGCACTTCCACTGTATTTTCTATTCCGTGGATATTTATTAGAAATACGCTTTAAACATCTAAAACATTTTTTTATACTTCTTTTACTTTCGTTTTAAAACAAAGACTGAGTATTTTTAGCGTAGTTTGGAATGTTTAAAATCAGCTGATTGTAAATTGTAATGTCAAATATTTCAAAATAAACTTTAAAATTTACTGTCAAGTCACCGACTTCTCTTGATAAGTGTTATCGTGTTATTTTATTGATAATTCGAAGAAGACACAGACGCTAAGATCGGATTCTTAATATCTCAGTTGTGTGACACGAATCATGCTCAAAAGAGGTAAACAACTGCTGGTATAATTGGAAGTTAAAACGTGTTTTAAACTGTGTTAGACATGTCTTCGTCTCCCTCCACGACCGATGCCGCGCACCCTCGGTTTTTAGAAAAACCTACCCTTAACGTCGGTGGTACAGTATTCCATTTGGGTTTTTAAACTTTCTTGTAGACCTTTCCACTTCTACTAACTCGTTTCTTCATAAAAACTTAAAAAGTTAGGTTAACTAACACTGCGATTTCTATTTGGTTTAACCAGTATTATACCATTATGCGTAGTAAAACTGATAGATAAATTGAATCAAACTTTGACTAAACATTTTAAGTTACTGTTCATTATCATACGGCAATGATAACCTTTGAATTATTGTACAGAGAGAAAAAGATCTTAAACTGGTGTACTATCATTTTGCTTTGAAGGACGTGTTTTATGAGTGCGTTTGTATGAGTATATATTCACACACTACAATTAACACTAGTAAGATAATACCTCCAGTGGTATAATAATGTTATGCAAACAATATAGAATCTCAACATACAATAAATACATATATGTATACAATATAACATATCCATATACATAAAATAAGTATTAAAAAAAATATAGAGGCTATGTGATTTTTTCAAGGATAATTCAATTGTATTTTGTATAGATCCTTGTACTTAATTAAGACCTATTTATTTTTCAGTTTCAGTACCCTTGATATCTCCAGCCAAAAAATATTTTTACAAGTCTATGATTGCTCAATACAATTCACAGTGTTGTTATGTATCATGTAAATGTTTTAATCTTCTTTCAACTTTTTATTTTTTTACCTTTACTCTTAGGTTTATTAATATTATTATATGAGTATTGTTTTTTTTTTAAGTTTTGGTAGAGTCTAGTATTAGTCACATTTTATGTATGTTGTAGTATTGATTTTCTTAAGTATGGGTAGATTATTAGTGTAAAATTGCCACCTTGTAACAAGTTTCCACTGGAATAAAACTAGGTAATTTAAATACCACAGAAATGGCTTTAGTATTGAAGTAATTTGTACAAATGTTAGAATAAAGATTAGACACATTAAAGCTACCTTCTGTTAAGCTTTCTTTATACCTCAAATTAACTTTAATAGATTATGTCCTGTTCTTTTTTTATTTAAAAAAGCTTAGCTTGATGTGTATGTGTCCATATACAAACATATAGACAAACTATTGTATTCCAGGTTTGAAAGTAGTTCTTGTCCAGATGGCAGTGGGCATGAACAAACAGCAAAATTTGAAAGAAGCGGTGAAACAGATACACCAAGCCAAAGCCAGTGGGGCTCATCTAGTAGCACTGCCGGAGTTCTTCAATGCACCTTATGGCACTAGTGAGTACACTTAAGTGTGGGAGAGCCGTGCTTCGGCATGAATGGGTCGACAGGAGTGATACCACGGCCTCACAGAAAACCGGCGTGAAACAATCATTGCGTTGTGTTTCGCAGTGTGAGTGAAGTTACAGGAGGCCCAAGCCTTTCCTTCCCCCAATCCCTAAATCTACAAATCCCTAATCTCCAAAAGGTCGGCAATGCACTCGTAACTCCTCTGTTGCGGGTGTCCATGGACGGCGTTAATTGCTTACCATCAGGTAATCCGTCTGCTCGTTTGCCGACCTATTACCTTCCTAATAAAAAATCAGTAAGGCGTGAAAAAAATAAAAAGCATACATCCATAAATTCTCACATACTTTACATTTATAATATTAGTAGGATAGTAGGACTGTAGGTATTAATAAATGAGACTAAAGGTCTCCACACTAAAAAGGTTCAAAGTGTTGCTTCCTGATTATGAAGTAGGTAACATTTTTGTTTCTTTTTGATAACCTTTAAACTGCTGTGTTCAGTTCCACTGGCCCAGGTCTCTCGCTGATTCTGGAGGTTGTGACAAAACCCAGAAGGCTCATAGTCATAGCAGTAAAGTAGTTATCGAAGAAAACCCGTTAAGTTACTTTTAAAAATCATATAAAATATAGCTTGCGGCCGCGGCTTCGCCCGCGTGGTGGATAGAAAGTAGCCTATGTGTTAATCCAAGGTATCACCTATCTCCATACCAAATTGGAACCAAATCGGCCCATCCGTTTTGCGTGAAAGAATAACAAAAATATATCCATAAATTGTCACAAACTTTTATATTTAGTATATTAGTAGGATAGTAGGAAAGTAGGAATTAGTAGGATTATAGGTAGTGTCTTATTAGTCAGCACTAAGGTGGTGTGTAACTGGTGAATGGTATAATACAGTGTAGTGTTGTATTGTAGAGTACTTCGCCGACTATGCGGAGAACGTACCGACAGGAGATTCGTGTCGCGCCCTGAAGCAAGCGGCGCGGGAGGCTGGCGTGTATGTCGTGGGCGGCACTCTACCCGAGCGATGCGGGGACCAGCTGTTCAACACTTGTACTGTATGGGACTCTACCGGGAACCTAGTAGCGCAACATAGGAAGGTAGACCTCGTTTTTACTACAAATACAAATCAAGAATGTACCAATGCCGAAGCATGATCGGCCCGACCTTAATGATACTACAGCCTTACAGAGAATCGGCGTAAAGAAACACTTCCGTTGTGTTTCGTCGGTTGAGTTAGATTACTTATCTCCAAGTTTTGGACCTATGGTAATTCCAGAAACTCTCAAATTACAAATCTCCAATAAGCCGGCAATATAATAACATAATTAAGTAGGTACCTATGCATGCAATATGGTCTCTTATATTTGGAGGAGCACAAAACGATTGTATTTTATTTTATTATTGCGCATGTAATGTGTATTCTCTGTTGGAGATCCTAATAAAATAAATAAATAAATATAAGGTTCACAGCTCATTAAAGCCACCCTGTGTCGCCTCGTCGCACGCCGTCCAATCCTTGACGACAGATAGTCCACGGGTGGACGTCGCATCAATTCTATTTCAGCAATAAATGTCCCGCGGTTAACGAATGAACGCCGCTTGGTCCACAAATTTTCGATTACTCGTACTCAGGGCAGCGCGCGGTCCTTTCGAGACCCGGCCGTTGGCAATGCCCAATCAACGCAAGGCAAACATTGGAACAGCGAGTTGTCACCGAGTGGTCCACACGCCCATAAAACCGATGCAATCTGGTGACACTACGGAGTTGATGTGTTGATGTAACGAGCGTATGCCCATACAAGACCATTTATAGAAAATGCCGCATAAGGCGAGTCGGAGCGAAGTGGGTGCTGGGTGGCTCTTATAAGCTAATGACCTTAAGTCAGTCATTTTAACCAGACCCAAGCGTACGCCGCGTAACTTTCCGCGCGCGCCTCAAAAAGCCAATAGACCATCACAGACGGGGCCCTATGGGGCTGATGTTCTCGTGAGCACCTTGGGCGTGAGAGAGTGTTTTCCCCCTTTTCCGTTGAATTTCCTCAAACAAAAAGTCTTCTCATTTTGCCTATGTCCGTGACCGTCGTCGATCGCTTTTAATCAAGATATATCTACTCGTATACTGTTTTATCTAGTCTTTAAAATCATGTTTTTATGGGAGTTACGTTTCACACTAACGGGAGATGACAATAATTATTGCGATAATTGATGATGTTAAACAATGAACAACCTTTAACCTTTACTGATCAAATAACACCTACGATTAGGTACCGTCCATTATCGCGATAGTTAATGGCATATCCCGTTAGTGTGGCCCAAGCATTAGTATAAAATTGAAAAATCTATTCCAGGTGCACCTATTCGACATAGACATCCCCGGCAGGATAACTTTCAAAGAGTCTGACGTGCTGTCTGCCGGTAACAGTATCACGACTTTCGATTGTTACGGCGTAAAAATCGGAATCGGCATTTGTTACGATCTGCGCTTCTTCGAAATGGCACAACTTATGGCCAAACAAGGCAAGTAAAACTTAGAAATCCACGATACATGCAGAAGTACTTATCATATTTTTTTATGTTGTTTATTCATAGGCGAGTTGAATAGACCGGTTTGAATGGAGCGATACTAAAAAACCTGAGAAAAGAAAGCCAGGCGTTGCGTCTGGATAACTAGTCCTTCTAGCCCTCAAATCACCAAAAGATAGTCAACATGGACGTCGTCAATGGGCTCAGATCGTTTACTACCTGATTGTATACTAGCTACTCCCGTACGGTTTCACTCGCTGCTCAGTTCCATTTGATTGTAGCGTGATGTTTTATAGCACTCGGGAACATTGTAGCTATCAATTAGTGAAAGAGTTTTGAAAATTCGACCAGCGGTTCCTAATATTACCCCCTAATATTACATACAAACTTACAAATTCTACCTCTTTGTAATATTATTACAGAAAAAAGTTACTTGTTCACTTTTTTAATTGGTATTTGCAGGGTGTTCCATGTTAATATACCCTGGAGCCTTCAACATGACGACGGGGCCTTGTCATTGGGAGCTCCTGGGCAGGTCTAGAGCGAATGACCTACAGCTGTGGGTAGCCCTCGTCAGTCCCGCCCGGGACCCGTGCGCAGAGTACGTGGCCTGGGGACATAGTATGTTGATCAACCCATGGGGAGCCGTTGTCGGCGAGTTGGATGAGAATCCTGGCCAGCTGTGCTGTGTTGTCGGTGAGTATTTTTTGTATATTAGGTAGCTGTTCGTCTTTTTTTATGGTATATGTCGGTAAACGGATTACTTGATGGTAAGCAATCAGCGCCGCCGCGCCGCCCATGGACACCCGTAATACCAAAGGAGTTACGAGTGCGTTGCCTGCGTTTTAGGGATAAGGGTTCTGGATATTTAAGGATTGGAAAGGGATGGGGGCGGGGTGGGATTGAGCCTCCGGTAACCTTACTCACACGGCGAAACAACAAAATCTTATAGATAATAAAAAAAAACTAAAATAAGTTTAATAGTGCAAGGTCGCTCAGTATAAAATGTACTAAATTGTGACGTCATACAAGGTCAAAGCAAATCAATTTATCAACAAAAATATTTTATTTAAAGTTTGAGACAGACATTGAAAAAATATTGTATTTTTTGATATTTTCATTTTAGATTTGGAAACTTTGGAGGCAGTAAGAAGCCAGATTCCTGTCAGATCGCAGAGGAGGACGGATTTGTATGATACGATATCTCGTGCTAAATGTTGAGTTCTTGAGTATGTAACCGAATAATTGTAACCATACTTGACCTTACACATTTGGGACAGCAAAGAAAAACATATCCTGTTTCAATGTTTTAAGGTCGATTTTCTAGTGATATGTAAATGGTATAGGTACCAAATAATATGTCCACATTTGGTGATATTTTTTTATGGATTTATTAAAATTTGTGCATTTTTTACATTGTTTATTTTAGAAGCTAGAATGGAAAATTCAGTCTTAAACAATAGATATTATTTCTCAGTGCGTTTTCACTGCGATTGTTAAACCACAAATTCGAAATGTCTAGGGCAAAATGTTTTATACCAAATGGGAACAAGTGTTGCAATTCATAAAAAATAAAACATGTAAATAAGTTTATTCTTATATACAAACAACTTTATTTCATTGTATTAAATGTTACTATTTTACATTATACTTATATTGTTATTATTTTATATACTTATTATGGTTTCATTAAAGTTTTGAAAGTATTTGGTTTTTTTGTTCGTTTCTATCCAAATGCCGTTGTAGTATTTGCAGAACTTCGTCCCCACAGCCCCAGAATAGAGTAAAGCCACTTCCACCTGTAAATAATAATAGCAATATTTATTTCTTATCTCATACAAAATTACAAGGGCCATCTTTTAGAGTTCTATTAATTCTATCCCAGTTTAATAAGAAGGTACCTGTACCTATCGTTGAAACTTTCTTCCTATGAAAGTTTGCATGTTTTTACAATAACTATCCTGAGACATACTAAATTAACTAAAAATCGCGGGTTATTCACGTTTGTAATTGCGCGACGTCGCCGCGTACGTGTACGCTGTTCATGAGGAAGAACCCCTCTGTGGTTCGAAACTAGTAGAGCTTTTCTCAATTACAAACGTGAGTAACCCGCGATTTTTAAGTTAATGAAACTTTGCATAAATTTTATAGGATATATTTTTTATAGGAGACGAGCAGATAGATCAACGTCCACGCTTAACAACAACAAACAAAAGGGTAGGTAGTAGAGTAGAGCTTTTAAAAGAGTAGTTTTATTTCCAAGTTTGGTTCCGAACCACTGATCGACAAACTGAAACGGACGTTCAAAATTATCGACAAAATGTACGTTCAAAAGTATCGGTAAATGATTTAATTTAAATAAATGGTTTCACTTTAGTTCTTACTCTTACTTGCCCTGTGTGTAGAACTCGCGAGACGTGGTGTTCCTCAGGGATCGATCCTGGGACCACTCCTGTGAAACATTGGGTACGATTGGATGTTACGCACCGACCTCTAAAGCGGCAATGCTGACGACACGCCGGTGCTAACGGAGGTTGGAATGGACGCGGTAGCTGAGACTCGAAGTGACATTCCAGAAGTTCGAGGCCATGTGCTTTCATAGCCCGAATAATGTCAGGGGCGTTACCATCGGTGTTGATTCGACGATGACCTGATTCTCATACTCGAGAGTCGGTGGACGTTCACGGAGCATTTCCGACGTTTGGTTTCCAGTTGGAACGGACAGAGGCTGATGTTATCTTAAGGATTTTTCTCTTTAATTGAAATTAATGATTTGACTTTGATTTTATACATACCATGTCCGTAATTATGTATGTAGAGCTTCCCGTTCTTCTCCTCAGGCTCCAATCTGATGGAATGTCTCGCTGGCCTTAGTCCAACCCAGTGGGACACAACTTCTGCATTCTGCACAAAAAATGAAAATGTACATGGTTACATATCAAGCTATACAAAACTTGTTCTTAGTTATGACGCCGCGATCTATGATCTTTTCTCAGGTAAAGCTTTGAGTAACGTATATTGTGGATTGGAGATATTGAAAACAGCTTTTTTATGAAGAAAAGTCGTCCAATGACTTCTCCTGCTATTATTGTTAAGGAGTGTCAGATTCTTAATGACTAAAAACCACTTCGTTCCTTCTGCTACTCCGAGGTAGAACATTATTGCGATTCCACCGCAACCGCAATCCTCGTGGGCAATCGTGGCCTCATTGACCTTCGTGGGCCCGTCGTTGCCGTGGTGGCTAAGAGGTTAAAGCGCCCGCTTGAGGCATGAGGGTGTGGGTTCAAAACCTAGCATATACGTATGTGGCCTTTCAACATTTCTAACGACGTGGACTTATAATTTTTTAGTAGATTAAATACCTACCTACATACCTACTTATTCTCGGCTTGGGAGTAGAGGTCTAAGCTGAGTAGCACGTATACGTAAGTGAAGCTATGGGAGCACTAATATTACTGTTAGTAGTAGTTTATAATTAGTTATTATTAGTAGGTGTAGCTAAAATCTCACTCGAAGTCCAGGCATCATTTTCTTGCACCCGTTCATGATGAACTCGGTGTCGGCTGCGTCTACTTCTGTGCTATAGTCAGTCTGGTGAGTGCCGCCAAGCACACATGTTTCCGAACTGAAATTATTAAAAAAAAGATTCAAAACTAAATATGGGAGAGCCGTGCTTCGGCACGAATGGGTCGCCTCGGTGATACCAAGGCCTTACAGAAATCCGGTGAAACAATCACAGCGTGGTATTTCGTCGTGTGAATGAGGTTACCGGAGGCCCAATCCCTCCCCAATCACAAAATCTTCAAATCCCTAATCTCCAAAAAGTCGCCCAGGCATTCGAACTCCTCCGTTGTTGCGAATGCCCATTGTCGTGCGCTGATTGCTTACCATCAGGTAATTCGTCTGATCGTTGGCCGACCTCTCAAATAAAAAACTACCTATTTAATAGAGAGGTCATTGCTTAATAAAAGTGTGCCTGTCGAGTAAGATACAAAATGCAGATTCCAATAGAGATGATGACAACTCAAAATCAATATTTATGGTGACTATTTCTCTGCCAACATATATCTACATAAATACCCGACTTTATGTGGCACATTAGTCATACTTTGTCTGTCGTGGTGACTCGGGTCTCGGAGGTTAAAGCGCCCACTCCTCATGCATGAGGGTGCGGGTTAGGAACCTGGCAAGTACCATATGACTTTTCCAAGATATATTTAGTTTCTATTATTTAGACTCCACAGACAGGAGGGTTTCTCGAAAAAATCGTGAGGAAACTTGGATTTACAAGTTTTGAAATCGTCAATCACCCTTGAAGAAACGTGGTGATTAATGCTCAAACCTTCTTTGTTTGAGAAGAGGCCTTAGCTCTGCAGTGGGCGCTCATGAGATGATGAGATATGATGTTCATACAAATTAGGTTTAATACTGATTACAATTCATCTGGAACACAGCTTCCAGATATTCTGTAATTAGTTAGCCAAGTAAAACTTATCTGTATATATAAAAGAAAGTCGTGTTAGTTTACTCCACTTATAACTCAAGAACGGCTGAACCGATTTAGCTGAAAATTGGCAGGGAGGTAGTTTAGAGGCAGGAGAAGGACATAGGATAGGATAGAGTAGATAGTGTAGGGTAGGTAGAGTAGGGTAGGATAGGTAGAGTAGGGTAGGTAGAGTACGGTAGATAGAGTAGGGTAGATAGTCAAATGACGGGAGCGACTCCGCGGGTAAGAGCTAGTTTCAAATAAAACTTACTTGGGTATAATATAGTTGCCGCCCTCTTCGTCAATAATGGATAGATTCATCCACGGGGCCTTCACCTATAGGTTATAAAAACATTGCTATCAGTTTTAATAAAAACAGTTTTATTTGTTTCAAACACAGTCATTTAAGAAAAGTGTAAACGTTAACTAAGGTAGGGTGGGTGATTAACGCCCGCTGCGCATTTACGCCCAGATGGCAGAAAACATACTAAATATAAAAATATTCCGTTACTACTCCACGCACACTTAGAATGAACCAATAAGAAACCGCAAAACAAGCGGCGACGCGCTCACGCCATTATCCGCGGCAGTGTGACGCCGCGTTCCGGCAGGATCGGACATGTACCACGCTGTTATAAAAAGTACCGGAACGAAATTGTGAGTGGTTTTATGTGTTTTTTTGCGTTTTGGGTTAATTTTTAAGATTTAATTGCTTCAAGATAAACTTAGTTCACTATTGCCTGAATGTTTGGCGTAGATTTCTATGTTTTTTTCCATAAACGTGCCATTTGAATCAGCGTCCGATAATAACGCCCAGCTGGGTAATAACGCCCGTTAAAATAACGGTTGGGCGCTATTACACTACACGGGCGTTATAACCATAACCATAAATAGAGCATTTCTAATTTCAGAAACTACTAAAAAAATGAGTACCTATACATTGATATACTGAACATTAAATTAATTATCGACGCGATCAATATAACCTCAAATATTGTTTTCTTATACTTCATTGTTTATGCTTTAAGATATTTTTAATAAGATATATATTGACATATAAAGGAAATATTTCCATTACATTATTTTTTATATTTTTAGATATAAAGATGTCGCCTCGTAAAAAGAGGGGAGAATCTTGGTCAGAAGACGATTTGAAAGCCGCTTTGAGAGCTGTTAAAAAAGGGAAATTAAGTCAGCGAGCCATATCTCTCAAGTATAACATTCCGCGACGAACATTGAGGGACCATATGAAAACCGGCCAAGACGTAAAACGTATGGGACGAAAACCTATTTTAACAGAGGCTCAGGAAAATGATTTGTGTGGTAGAATCAAAAGGTTTGCAAAAATCGGAATACCTCTCACACCTAAATTTATCAGAAAACAAGCCTTTATGTTTTGCGAGAGATTTGACATAAAAAATAATTTCAATTCTACAAAAAGGATTGCGGGTGCTGATTGGCTAAGGCAGTTTTTAAAGCGAAACCCAACGATCACTAAACGAAAGCCACAAATATTAAACCCAGCGCGAGCTCAAAAACTTAACAAAGCAATAGTTAGGGAACATTTTCAGAATGTAAAAGAAATATACGAACCATTAGATATTCTTCAACATCCTGAAAGACTATACAACATGGATGAGAAGGGTTGCCGAATTACAGTCCACAACCAGCACACGGTACTTGCGGAGAAAGGAAGTAAAAGAGTACATCTTATTGCACCCGAACATGCCGAAAATGTGACCATAGCAATGTGTGTTATGCCATAGGAACCGCGATTCCTCCCATGATTCTTTTTAAAGGGCAAAGACAAAGACCAGACCTTTCAGAAAACTTACCTGCCGGAACTTTAGTAAGAATGGCGCCGAAAGGGTCCATGACTGCCGATTTGTTTGTAGAATTTATCCAGCACCTAGCCAAATACAAAGTTGCGGGAAAATGTTTACTTGTTTTTGATGGCGCTAAGTGTCACTTATCAGTTGAAGCACTCGAAGAAGCTGATAATAATGACATAGTGCTATACTGCCTTCCTTCAAATACAACCCATGAATTACAGCCTCTGGATAAGTCCGTAAACAAGTCTTTTGAACATCATTGGGACGAAGAAGTCTTAAACTATTTATGTGCAAGCGCCGACAGAACACTCACAAAAGCTACATTCAATAAAATATTTACTAGAGTTTGGCCCAAGTGTATGACGCACAGCAATATAGTCAATGGGTTCAAGGCAACCGGTCTCTTTCCCTTCGATCCCCAAGTTATACCAGAGGAAGCATTTGCCCCATCTGTTTTGTCGGAAATGCCATGCCCGCGAACCCAGGAACCTCTGCAGAATCTCATTTTAAACTCATTAGATGATAGCACTGATAGTGATGACATTAAAGTAGATCATGATCACCATTTGGCTTTAGTTACTGAGTTATCTACTATTCAGAGAAAATCTGACTTACTTAATGAAAATATTAACCCAGTTAAGTCCCGTCTTGTGGATTACAGCTCGTCATCCGATAATTCTGACATAGCATCAATTTGGCCGAACCTTAAATCACAAGTTATGATAGAAGAAGATCGTGATTCACCTTCCTTAATACCAGATACCAACTTAATTGGTATTTCTCAATTTGATTCCTCACACTACAATGGCGATAAACATTTAGGACAACATGATCTGGCCGTTCCCAGCTGTTCAGGATTACAAAAATCTTTACGTGACGATCCGGGTTCTGATTCAACGATTTCTGATTTGGATTCATTCGTTACTAGGCCTCTTTTCAATCAATCCAAATATGTTGCTGATCATATCTATAACTACACATCAGACGAATCATCAAGAGATGGAAGTCAGTGTCATCTCAACAAAGGAACAAAAACACCGAAAAAACAAATGATCTGTCCTATTCAAAATGAAACTTGCAACCTAGATGAAGACAACGTACCATTAGCCAGTTTACAACAAGAGAATAAAACGCAATTTCAACAATTCCTACCTACGCCTAATTATGCAAAAAATAAATCTTCAAAACCACGTAAGAAAGCGATGAACTATAAAGGGCAAAGAATCACTAAGGATTTATTCAATGATAAAACTGAAACTAAAAAATCTAATAAACAAAATTACAGTAGCATGAAGAAAACTAAGAAAGAGCAGAAAAAGCTACACATTTCTAAAACACAAAAGACGAATGACAAAAGAGAAGAAAAAATAAGTGAGAAGAAATTAGAAGAAAGACGTGAAAAAGAAAACAAAGCGAAAGACACTAAAAATAAGACTAAGAATAAAAAGAAGATGAACGGGAATAGCGATGAAGTCTGGTACTGTAATGCTTGTGGTGAGATAGAGGAGTTAGACATGGCGCAATGCATAGTATGTAAGAGATGGTACCATGAGGAATGCGTAGGCCTCTCCGAATGTGATATAGAGTTTATTTGTCCATATTGTTAAAAAAAAGTATAGTTTCTATAAGACTGATTAATGTAACTTCAGACTGACTATTTTATGTAAGACATACTTTATTATGATTATCTGGCAATTTTAGTTTAATTGTTATATAAACAGTTAATACTTTTTTTGACAGAGTAGTCGAACTCTATTGACTAGACTTTTTTTAATACTTATTACTATTGGGCGTTATTACCCACTAACGATGTAATTGCGCCCAATGAACATTTAAAAAATATCTTAATTCTGCTTTAAAAATGATTAGTACGCCTTGTGCTCACGATAGGTTATTTGAAAATTATTAAAAAGTTCCTTAAATATGACTAAATACAAAGATACGACGTGTTATGAGGTGTATTCTTAAGTTGGGCAAAGTCTATATTAAATGTTGATTTTATTTGTTTATTTTTAGTGTAATCACGATAGTACAAAGTAAGATTTCGTAAGTTACCTAATTTTTTTTTGTTTTAAACCTAGTTGTTTAATTAAAGCTTAGTTTAAAAAACGGGCGTCAATGGACGCATACTTTTTAATAACGCCCAAATAAATGTTTTTTAAAAAGCAGGCTATTAATAAGTATTATGAGTAAAACTCACTGTAATGTGCCATTATATGTAGAATAAATAAACATAATTTATTAAGAAAGGTGTTTTTCTTCCATAACTATTGAAATACCAAAAATATTTGAAATTAAAGTTAGGTGGGCGTTAATCACCCACTGTACCTTAGTTTGTTACTGGTAACCACTAGATATTTTGTTTACAGCTCTATAAACATAGTCAACTGTCCAGTTTTAACCGCAAAGAAGCGAGTTTCTAGAGGTCTGCCGACCCCGGGCGGAATTATTAGCGCTATGTTTATGACTTAAGTTTCTATACCGATTGACGTCATATGTACCTACCGAGTGGCGCTACTGCTACTGTATCGCATAGAATCGCTGTATATGCTGAGTGAGGAGGGCCATTTCGCGTGTTTGTGACGCATATTTTTCTCTTACTTTATTACATTGTTGAATCATATTTTTTTTATTATAAACTTGTTTGTTTTGTGTCCTTTATGCGTCCTAGACGCGAATAAATACTTTTGTTAGTTTGTATTTAGAAATCCTTAAAAAAAACGCTTATACATCTTTTACCTATGTGTAAAAATTTCGTGTCACGTGTTTGTCCGCGATGGACTCCTAAACTACTAAACCGATTTTAAATTTGATTTGCATTCCGTGTGCATTTTGATCCAACTTGAAAGATAGGATAGCTTACATCTCAATTTATAGTCACAATATTATTTAACTTAGACACAGCAACGCGAGGCTGGGTTTGCTAGTACCTATAGTAGGTATAAAATGTATCTGTCACCGGAAAATAACAAGTCGTGTGACGTAAAATATTACAATTTATCTCCCGTTTAGAATCTTACGAATGTTTATAAACTTCCTAGTAAATTGATAAACTTACGGATCTTGTTATTTCCCGGTGACATATCTACTTGTAAATCGTAACAAGAAGAAATTCCTACGTGTCTAATTAAAATAAATCTATCTACCAGACGGACATAAAAAAATCTTTTATAAGTATATTTTCTCACCTTAGTGATCTGCCCTCTAACGGGAACCACTGCATCATCAGGCACGAGCCACCTGGCGCCCAAACCAGTGCAGTTCACAACCACATCATAAGCTTCTAACAGAGGATCCTGAAGTGATGTGATCTTCGCTCGGAGTAGTCTACCATTGGCTCTTTCAAACCGTTCCTGTAAATACGCCAGGAGTTTTTGTGCTGATGATGCGAATGTTAGGAATGTGTGACCGGCTCTGAAACGAAAACGTTTGTATGGTGTTTAGAAATATAATTGTAAATCCTTGTTTAGGCATATCCGTCAACACAAACCTATGGTAATTAAAGCCAATTTGAATTCTTTTAAAATACTCTGTCGTAACCTACCTATGGATTTTTATAACTAGCTAACAAGAACTGACAAGAAGAACCTGTGATCAAATAGGTATTTGTCGAATAAATGTGTTTTCTTTCTTTCTTTCTAGGTACCTACCACAATACTTACCAAATTATGTTTCTGTGCTAAAAATATTAAAGTAGGTAAGGTGTTCGCTTTTTATAGATCTGTGTAATTCAATAATATGCTGGCTAGAACTGAAAATCAGCACCGTGGATGCCATTTTGTGCGGAATTTCATTTTATTTGTATTTATCTGGTAACACAGCGTAAATAAACAGATTTGTTCCTTTCTTTTTACACGAGGTTGTGAGATCGAAACCTGACAACTACTGAATGCACTTTTTAGAATCGCCAAAACATCTCAAGCAAATGATAAATGGACATGAATAGATAATGCTCAAAACTTTTACGTATGAGAAGAGGTAGTTGGCACTTATAGGGTGATAATGATATGAAAAATATCAGTAGCCAACAGTTTTTTTTAGAAATGAAATGCTCTACTTACTCATATTTATCAGAGAACAGTTGATTGCAATCCTTCAGCTGTTGCTCGACAAGCACGTGGTATCCATACACTGTGTCCCACCAGCTCGGCTTGCTGAACTTCTCCTTAGTTCGGTATAAACTGTAGACCGGCAGTAATGACACCCCATGCCCACCCATCCGGTATAGTTCATGGAGATATTTGTAAGTTTCGCTGCCCCATTTCCTGTAAATTAAAATATTTTGTCAAACTGAACACTGCTTACACTGGATGATAACTGAAAAACGAAATCGAAACTCGAAAATCGAAGCCGCATTTTATTTCAATTAGACTATCATCAATTAAGATTTTTTTTACTGATGAACCTCGAAATATGATATTCTGCCAACGGCGGTAAAAAGCCTATGTTTTATTAGTGACTATAATCTACCTCTATGCCTCTTCATCCGGTTCCGTTCAGCAGTATAAACGCGAAAGAGTAATAAACTACTCCTTTATTACTTTACTCTTTGGTAATAAACATCAATCCACGCTTATTAACTTTTGCATGTATAATATTAGTAGGATGAAAATTCTAGACTCCAACTGTATCGTTGGAAGATGAGGCAAATGTTACTTTCTACGATCAAGATATCTTGGGTTCGATCCTTGCGTTAGAAAAAATGTAATGACTTTTTTGCTTCAAGGAATAGAAGAAATTAGTTTACCTTATCAGGTCAGCAGGAGTAGCTCCACATATGAAAGGGTACCAGAGTCCTCCTGATCCATCACCAGTCGTATTTGGAGTGAACTCGCTTGAGATTAACACTACCTGCATTATTAAATAATGTTAAGAAGGGACTAGATTTATTACAAAGTAATCTATGCTAGTCCAACTAGTAATTCCAGTATGAATCGTCTTTAAGTGGTTCTAAAGATGTGCTAAGATTTAACAGAATTTGCAATACTATACTAAGTATATGTAAGTATAAAGAGCCCCATACCCCATGGAGATGCAGATGATCATCACCACAAGGGTGCTTTTAAAAAGAAAACAAATGTTACAGTATTAAAAATACTGTGCTATTTGGTGACTGGGCTTCCCCCAGTTGCACTCTTTTTTGTGCTTAAAAAATCGTGGATTATATTTAGTTTTTTCTTCTCCGGCAGGTTACGTTAATTGCTTACCATCAGGTAGATCGTCTCTTTGTTTGTAGCCCTAACCCATAAGAAAAAAGATCCCGTAATCCCTACTGTCTCTACAGCAACAAGCTTTTGGTTGTGGACTAAATGGCATAAACACATGTGACAAAACCCTAAAACCTATCTGATATAAGTACTGACAATTTGGTTTTTATGTATTTGTATCAATCTAATCTGCAATCAGGGTTATCTTGAATGGCTATAATCTCTCAAAAGTTATGTAGAATTGTATTTAGATACCTAAGTACATATACATGTTTGTTGTTCGCTATGCTTTTGCGAAAAGTTACCAGTAGTTCGGTCGATGTATTATGTTACTTTAGATTTTTGGGGCGAAAAACGTTAAGGATTTTTACGTCACTAAAACCGCCTTGGTGACCACCCTAAGTACTTGTTAGGGACACCGGGTCCTAGTAGAGAGAGGCCCCTTCAAAAGGGCATCGGATGCTCATCTACCGTGAGGGTTCATGGTGCAATTTCTGTTACGGCACATCCCTTGAGAGACTTGCATCTCCCTTGAATCTAGCTGCACGGCGAAACATAAAAGTTTCCTCTCTAAATTCACTTATTGGAAGTCTAGAGAGCCCACATTATACTTATAATAAAACAGGTACGTACAGACTTCTAACTATAGACCTGCTTTGTCTGTCCATATCTTGCATCATTCCAAAATGAGCGGTACGAACGTATATAAACAAATTTCTGCGTTTACACTTAAACAAAAACAAAAAACTTACGTCATAATCTTTATATTTCTCCTTAATTTTCACAGCGCACGTAAGGCCGTTGATCCCGGCACCCAAAACGGCAATCTTCACCATTTTTTTTCAAAGTTGAGACCTAGAGAGATGTCTAAACCGTGTTTATAGTACAGTGCACCTTTTTGCAATGCCTCTATCATTGTCAGTGTGTATATTATCTTATCCAGAGTTCAAGGGTTCATAATAAATAGAGATGTGGCAGTTAGTCGGTGAAGCCGAGTCTCCAGAGTATCTGGCCACTTCTTTAGTCACATATTTAGTTTTCTGCGCTATTTGAAAAATATTCTCTTGAACTTTTGGCCGCTCAGTAATTGACCACTGTAGCTCTTTCTTATCAGCCTATAAGTGATTACTTCTGAGCAAAAGCCTCTTCTCAAAGGAAGAAAGTTGGAACATGAATTACCGAATTTAAACTTACAATACAATTAGAAATTAATAAGTCCAGATTTTCACACGATGTTTTCCTTTACAGTAACCTATGTGAAAAATTCACACTAGCACATAACAGGTTTCGAACCCGTCCCCAGAAGGGCACAACGACTGCACTGCATTGGTGGTGATTGAATTGGTGATTATGTTTCACATATGATTAATCGGGTTATATATTTACAAGCGACTAAGATATTAGTCAAAAAGTTAACTAAAATCAAATAAGAGTAATATAGTTTCGCAGTCTATTCGTCAGTAAACCTAAGTGCTCGATCCAAAGTGTAAATTGGCATGGAGAAGAACGAGCGAGAAACCTCCACAGCTCCATAAATTATCTGGTATAGGTATGTTCTAAAACTGCAACCAATCACCGATATGGGCTGTATCGTCCTTATATTATTAGGTGGCATTAATGGAATCCCCCAAGCATTCTTTCATCTGATGACGTTGAAGACGAATTGGTGCGTCGGCCTAAATTATGATTTTGTAGATCAGTACATCTCTAGTAATAATCATAAGTTATTTGAGATATGTTTGTGTACGTATAGTCTCTTTGTTCAGATAGGCTTAAAATAACTAGGGACAATTAACCAAAAGATGATTAAACTCTTAAAAAAGGAGAAAATAACATTCTATTGCGTCGTTTCATGGAGTATTTTCTGTTGTGAAGTGTTGAACAATTATCTATTGGAACAATTCTTTTTTCTTAAACTTTTTCTTAGTAGTCGTACATTTTATATTCAGAGGTAGGTATTACATTCGATATGGTGTTCTGAAGTAGAGACATGGAAGAAATTGTAACCTTATAGTTAAGAGTATGTAGGTATAGGAAAAATACTTTATATTGATTTATTTATCTCTACTTAACAATATAAGTATGTACCTATATTAACAATGGAACTTCAGTTACATACAATGAAACACAATCATATTGTCATGGTTTAAATATATTATGGACAAATACAACAGTAAATTTCCTGTAACAATTTGAGATTTCGAATACTTATAATAATTTTTATTTGCTTTTTCGGTTGTTATAAAAGTTTTCTCTGATTTCTTGATTAACTTTGAATTCCTAGACGCTTAGTGCATACTTACTGCATAATAAGTTGATATACATATACAATCGGGTTACATATATTGTAACATCCACTTTTACCAGCTGTTCCGAGTCCTACATAATAAAGGGTGTTACACGACACCAATTAAATTTTTGCATCTAATGACTTTTCACTTATCTGTTTGATCTTTTGAAGAATGGCAAGGTCTTTTAGCAATGTGTATTATTTACTTTATAGGCAATCACAACATATGCCGACGAAAAATCAATGTATCTTTAGAGGTATGAGAGAACGGGGTGGAAAGTTCCTCATCCTCCATTGAAAAGGGAGGATCCTCCGACCAGGCGAGGTGTTCGTGAACGACTGTTGGTGTCGGGATTTTTGTATGGTTGCTAATTGCGTTGAAAACTCTTATAGCGCGATGTAGAATCTTGCACGTGATTGGTGCTGTTGTTCTTGTTGTGCGATAGATGTCGCTACATATCTTTCTAGATTCCTGTTTATTTATTTATTAAATTATTTGTTCTCCTTATGTCGCCTCCTCCTTGGTGGTGCGGGTTCCTTGGTATGTACGGTGCGGACGTGCAAGGTCCGCGTGCACGACTTACTGAACGCCACGCCACATACCTCGCACTTATACGGATTGTCGCCCGAGTGGATCTGAAGGAGAGAACATTTATTGGTAGTTTTTGAAAAGAAAGGTAGGATTTTTATTGGGTTTGCGGGTCAAGCGTAATGAAGAACCGCGACCTCGGCCCAGAGCAGGAGAAGGAACGGGTGGGTTTTTAGTCTGTAAGAGTCTGACACTCTCTCTCGCCATATTCTGGGCGGGAGAAGTCATTGGATGATTTTCCCCTGACAAAAAAAGGGTCATGCGTAATAAGGTACCGTAGCCCCGGCTTGGAGAAGAAGATATTACGGAGGCGTTTCTAGCCAGTAAGAGTCTTTCTCACAAAAAAACAGTGTAGGAGAGCCGTGCTCGGCACGAATGGGCCGGCTTGTCCGAAGTGATACCACGACCTTACAGAAAACCGGCGTGAGATAACACTTACGTTGTGTTTCGCCATGTTAGTGAGTTTACTGGAGTCCAACTCTTTCCCCCTCCCCATCCTTCATCCTCAAATCCCCTATCCCTAAATCAGTTACTCCCTTAGTATTACGAGCGTCCATGGGCGGCGCTGATTGCTGATTGCTCCCCACCAGGTAATTTGTCTTCTCGTTTGCCAACCTATGACATAAAAACCTCACCCTGGGCGAGAGAAAACATTCATGTTTTCCCACCCCAAAAAAAAGATAGGATTTTTAATCTTGGTGAAGAGCCAGTCTAATGTAGTTCAGAAATTATTATAAAAATATTCTATAGGGGTGCTTTTCCTATTCAGGGTTGCAGGCAAAGCACAATTAACACATTCAGTGCCCCCGACGCGTATGTGCGTTTCCTCGCACGCACATACGCGTCGGGGGCACTGAATGTGTTAAGTAACGACACCCGGTTCAGAACAGGAGAAAATACAGGGTAATTTCTTTAGTCAGTGTCAGTAAGAGACTGATACTCCCTCTTGCGGTCTTGCCCCACCATTGAAGAACCATCTTCGTCTCAAAACTTTTCGCAAACCAAGGCTTATACTGACACTATCGTACTGCCAACTGCAGGAAAAATATATAGAGAGGAAAAGTATGAAAATTTTAATTATTACTAAAGAGGTGACAAACATACCGAAGTTTGTGTGTAAAATATAAAGGTACTTTCATCAAATACATACCTAACTTTTGTGAGGGGAAAACCTTACCTTACCTTAGCTGATTACCCTGCCCCTCTCTCCCCCCCTTCTCTAGCCGAGGTCGCGGTGCCTCGTTGCGCTTGCCCCACAACCCCGGCGAAACATCCTGCCCATATAGGGCTCCGTGTTATTGTGGTGGTTTATTGGCTCTTTGAGGCGCGCGCAGGACGCTACGCGCCGTACACTCGGGTCGGATTCTGGTCAAAAGACGAACTAGCCTTACTCGCCGTCCGCAGACCCGATTAAATTCGTACCTTTAGATGTCGTTCGAGGGCCTCCTTCCTTTTAAAGGCCTTGGAGCAAATGTTGCAGGGGAAGGGCCTTGCGTCAGAGTGTTTCTGCTGATGAACTCTGAGGTCAAACGCCGTGAAGCAAGCCTTGTCGCATTGGGAACACTTGTAGGGACGCTCTCCAAAGTGGGTGCGTTTGTGCATCACTAGAAGGGCGTTGCACTGAGGATACAAACGTTTGTTGGTTAAGCGAAGTATACGTTATATTGCTCGATATCAAAACTATATAATAAATTATCTTGAATAATTTTAATAAATTATTTTTACAATAGCGCCATCTATTACCAGATAGGAAAATCTCGTCTCATCGTTCTATCGTATTTATGATAATAGATGGCGCTAATCTATGATTAGATACTTGTACTATTTTCAAATTTAGACAGTTTTTATTAAGTTTTCTAGCTAAGTAAGTATATATAATGACTCACCGTAAACCTTTTCCCGCAGATGTCACAGACACATTTCTTCTGCACTGGATAGTTCTCATTGGGGTGCATCAGTCTGAAGTGTTTCCAGTATGCGCGGGCGTTTGCTATCTCCTCGGGACACTGGAGAAAGACATAATATATTATGTTTTCCTATATCGCAGAATCACAGAAAACCGGCGTGAAGCAACAGTTACGTTGTGTTTCACCGGATGAGTGAGGTTATCGGAGATCTGCCTTCTTTAGGTTCTTCCTCCACTCTCCCCCCCAACCTCCATGTTATAACACCTAATCATAAAAATGGACAATACCTACTCTTGTAGTAACTCCTTTGGTATTGCGAATGACCATTGGCGGCGAGGATTACTACCATCAGGTACCGTCAGCTTGCTTGCAGTTTCATACTCAGTCAGACTTGTCATATGATGGTAAGCAATCAGTACGAACCATGGACACGGATCCAGGAGTTACTGAGTTACTAGAATGTTACGTACCGGCCGGACATTCGCAACATCCAGGATTTATCAGTGCATTGCAGGCCTTTTCAGGAAAGGCTTTTGAGGATTGGGAGATTTGGTGTTAGGGATGGAGATGGGGGGGAGGAAGGATAGTTCCTAAGTCAAAACATCTTGATGAACTTAAAATATAGTTCCCGTAGTCCTCTCTGATATAACATCATCATCATCATCATCATCAGCCCATAAGTGCCCACTGCTGAGCAAAGGTCTCTTCTCACACGGAGAAGGTTTGAGCATTAATCACTACGCTTGCTCAATGCGGGTTGGCGATTTCAAACTTATAATTATAAATTCGACTGCACGGTTGGCGCGGTGGCTGGGCAACTGGCTGGCGCGCAACGTGTCGCGGGTTCGATTCCCGCACGGAACAACTCTTTGTGTGATCCACAGATAGTTGTTCTGGGTCTGGGTGTGATGTGCATGTGATATTGTATGTTTGTAAAGGCACCCACGACACAGGAGAAAATCCTAGTGTGGGGCAACGTTTTTAAAAAAAAAAAATAAATAAATAAAAAAAAATATATAAGTCCACGTTACCTCACGATGTTTACCTTCACCGTATGTCAGTGGCGTCTAAATAATCATAGAAAGTACATATAACTCGGAAAAGTCACATTGGTACTTGCCAGGTTTCGAACCCACACCCTCATGCATGAGAAGCGGGCTGCTTAAACAATCAAAGCAAAATACACCATAGTGACTACAAAATAAGGTCCAAACTTACATGTTCACACTGCGCCGGCCATTTAGTTCTGGTCCCCTTGAGCCTGTAATGTAGGGGCTGTCTCTTGGGGTGCTCCCTGCGGTGGTGGAGTCTCAACTCCTCGCGATCGGAGAAAGTCGCCCCACATACACGACACCCGTTACTGGTGAAAGGAATATGAGTCTTATACTGAAGGTAGGAAGGTCGATAACCGAGAATGGTATTATTTGCTGATGACACATCGTTGATTTTTAAAATAAATAGACGGACAGATAATTATGACGACGTAAATCTATTACGAAGGTTCATAATTGGTTTACAATTAATAATTTGGTCCTAAACGACAAAAAGACAAAGTGTATACGATTCAGTTTGCCAAATGTTAAAAGTAACGAATGTGACATATTATTAAACGGTAATAAATTGGAATTTGTAAAACAAACTACTTTTCTGGGTATAACCATAGATGACAAACTACAATGGGGGCCCCATATCACATCTCTGGCAGGACGGTTGAGCTCTGCAGCATTTGCTGTCTGGAAGATCCGACAGCTAACAGATGTGGACACTGCAAGACTGGTGTACTTCAGCTACTTTCATAGCATTATGTCGTATGGCATCTTGTTGTGGGGACAGGCTGCTGACATTGGGTCTATCTTTGTCTTGCAAAAGCGTGCCATCAGAGCTATTTACAACCTAAAGCGTCGTGAGTCTCTTAGAGAAAAGTTTAGAGAGATCACTATTATGACCGTGCCATGTCAGTTTATTTATGAAAACATTATGTATGTAAGGAAAAACTTAAAAATATTCGATAAGGTGTCAGATAGACATAATTATCAAACTAGACATAGAGATAGATTATGTCAGCCATTATTTAGATTGGCAAAGGTACACAAGTCGTTCATGGGATTCTGTGTTAAATGTTATAACAAAGTCCCAGGCGAAATACAACAATTAAATGAAAGACGTTTTAAAGTATGTGTAAAGAAAACTTTATGTAGAAAAGCATACTACACACTCAATGATTACATTGTAGATAAAGATGCTTGGAGACATGCTGGTCCTGCTTTACAGGATAGCAAACCTACACCAAAATAAATAACGTTCCAATGGATTTTGCTTGAACGGGACTTCTTCATTTTAGTGAAATTGCATTATATTATATAACTATAACTTGATAAATTTGTAAATGTGAGTGCCCTGTAACCTATTATAATTGGTTAGACTAGCAGAATGTCGGTTCTTATAACAGCTTGGAGTTGTCATGCTCACTGAAAGGTCACACTGGCGGTGGCATGGGCACTGGATCGCTTAATTCCCTATAATATGGTTGAGTTGGGCGATGCTGGTCAGCTCCAGACTGTCTATTGTCGTTAAGGTTACTTTATTTTTATATTTGAATAAATATTAGTGTTACACTGTTCTCACATAATTGAACCAACTGTTTGTAAAAGGAATCTGTATGTGAAACTGATTTAAAAAGAGTAACCATGGAGTTTCTTGCTCGTTCTTCTCCATCGGAATCTACACTTTGAAACGAGCAAATAGCTTCACTAAGAGGACTGACCGACAGACAGCAGACTGACACTATTTTTTGTTTTAAATTTTGTTTGACGTTCAAAAGTGCCTGTAAAGGTCTAATTGGAATAAATGATTTTTGAATTTTTGACTTTTGACTTTTGATAATCGTTTGTACTTTAAACATAATGTTGGCATTACAACGTATTCGTTACTGAAGGTGTTAAAGGAATATGTATGTTATGTCTATTCATGTAGAGTCGGTAATCGTTTCCATTTGTTGAGTCGATAGTGCCTTTAAAACGTTTTTAGATGGGGACTAATACTAATGAGACGACTATGTTTTTTATAATTATAACCAAATCAATTTTCGAACACTATAGTTATTTTTTACTGCAGTAATATTTCACGAACAAAATTGAACTGCCTATCAACTGCAATAAGGTCTATTTTTATTTGCCTGCAGTAGCTTCTATTAAAATTAATATTATTAAAAAAACAAATAACTCTAATAAATTCAAAAATCGAATCTAACTGCCACTTACAAATCAATGTCAAGGAAAAGTGCACCTTAATACTACTCACATAGAATCTGTAGTCTGCGTGTGTTTGACAGACATGACCATATGGCGTTTGTACGCTACGCTCGATACAAACTTGACGTCGCACTCCGCGCAGTAAGGACCATCTTCTGTACTCTCTTCTGGTTTTATCTTGAACAAACAGAATGAGACATTACTACCTACATAGTATATAAAACAAAGTCGCTTTCTCTGTCCCTATATCCCTATGTATGCTTAAATCTTAAAAACTACGCAATGGATTTTGATGCGATAATGGTTTAAAAAAAGAAATTAACTTTTCTTTTTCTCCACGAATGGATGTTATAATTATTATATTTTTTTATAAAGGTCGCCCCACATTATGATTTTCTCCTGTGTCGTGTGTGCGTTTACAAACATATAAATTCACATACACACCACACCCAGACCGGGGACAACAATTTGTCGGTCACACAAAGTGTTATTCCGTGCGGGAATCAAACCCGCGACACGTTGTACAGCAGCCAATGCCCAGCCACTGCGCCAACCGTGCAGTCTATTATATTATAGGATAAGTCATCATCATCAGCCTATTAATGCCCACTGCAGACTGCAGAGCTAAGGCCTCTTCCCACACGGAGAAGGTTTGAGCATTAATCATCAAGCTTGCTCAAGGCGGATTGGCGATTTTAAACTTATAATTAGCAATTATAAGTCCAGGTTTCCTCACGATATTTTTCTTCACCGTATGTCAATGGTGTCTAAATAATCAATCGTACTTAAGGATACGTATAAACCTTTTTTTTATAGTAACTATCGTGAGAAATACAAAATATATTGGATAAAACAACAAAATCACGTTAATAACCTTAGAAAATCAGCTCTACTAGTTTCAAGCAATGATATTATAAGTAAAATGGTGTAGATAGGTTACATAAACAACCTTCGATTTTCAATAACGGCACACTGATGCACACATGAACAATTCGTATGATACACGTTAAAGTGGGATGGCATGATTCAATAATCGCGAGTGAAAAGAGACAAATATGAAAAAGTGTGGCTAGTTAGCCACATTGAATGTATCACTTGCTGAGCGCTTGTAACCTATCTATATCTTGGTTTCAAGTCACAACGGGACTATTCATAAGCCAATTGACACACATAAAATCTTGTCATCTTGACAAGCAAATTTATATCTCATTTTACGACAACATAAGGTTGAAACTGGAGTACTCACCTCACAGTCCTTATGTACCATATTCTTATGAACGACAAGTCCCCGCTTACTGTAGAAGGAGTACCCGCAGTAGCCGCAAATGTTCTCCGAAGGATGTTTTATACGCATGTGGCTTACGTATGTTGTTCGTACTCTGAAAAGGGGTAGGCAGAGGTAGGATTGGAGCGTTGTTTTGCACCGGTTTTATGTGAGACCGTGGTTTAACTCCTTTTTTTGTGGGGGGAAAATCTTCGAATGGCTTCCCTCTTGAAGGTTGTAGGCAAAATTTGAATGATTACAAAAAAAATTGACAATTGCAATCATAATTGGGTAGTTTCCTAGGTAAAAAATAAATTATTTCGACGTTTCAATACAATAAAATATTGAAAAATAACTAAACTTTTATTCATCGATCGATCCATATAGTAATTTTTTTTTAGCTAATTATTAAGAAATAAGTAAGCTATTTGACGCAAAAAAGTTATGACGTCATAGCTCAGTTTTTCATACAAATTTCATAGAAAATCGTTTTTGACGTTTGGATAAAAGTATTGAATTTGACTAATTGGACACTACCGTATTATATATGTACTAGCTTTTGGCTAGCGACTTGATTCTCGTGGAATAGTGACTTCCTGCGGATTTTTGGTTGAAAGACTATTTTCACACAAATAGGTTCAGTAGTTTTGGCGTGAATAGAAGACAGACAGACAGAGTTACTTTCGCATTTACAATATTAGTTTGGATGTTTTCATTCAGTGTTGCGTTTCGCCATGTGAGTGAGGTTACCGGAGGCCCAATCCTTCCCCACCTCCAATTCCTAAATCACCAAATCCTTAATCCCTAAAAGGAGGAGGTGGATTGACGATTTTAAAGAACTTTAACCTTTGAGCCACCATGTTTAAATATGAAATAACTCTTACGTGAAAACTTCGTCGCAATATTTGCACTTGTATGTAACTCCCTTGTGCGATCCCTGATGCTGCTTCACTGTGGTTCTGAAATAGTTAATTATATTTATTATTATTCTTATTCTATTCTTAAAGATTTTTGCATACATAGCAATATAGGCAAAAAGAAAGCCACTTTGGTTTATACTCAAGACGGATTAGCCATTTCATTATTAACCTCCGGGCCACTACGACATTAGTTCAGTTCATCATCATCATCAGCCTATAAGTGCCCACTGCTGAGCAAAGGCCTCTCCTCATACGGAGAAGGTTAGAGCATTAATCACCACGCTTGCTCAATGCGGGTCGGCGATTTCAAATTTATAATTAGAAATTATTAGTCTAGGTTTCCTAACGATGTTTACCTTCACCGTATGTCAGTGGTGTCTAAATAATTATAGAAAGTACGTATAACTCGGAAAAAGTCACGTTGGTACTTGCCAGGTTTCGAACCCACACCCTCATGCATGAGAAGCGGGCTCCTTAACCTACGGGCCACCACGACATATAAACATTAGTTCAGTTACTTACATATTACTAGAGTTATACGGACACAGCTTGCAAACAAATTTCTTGCCGTGGTTGAGTGCGTGCCTCTGCAAGTTGCGCTTCGTTTTGAATCTGTACTTGCATATTGTGCATTCTATATCACCTGCAGTCTGGAAATACATACCGTAAGTTCGGGTTATTTTGACCCTGGGAGGTAACTTTTATCCAAATTTTCGAACCAATAAAAAACGAATATATGTTTGGTTCTCAGTTATTATTGGTTAAAGGGTTTGGATCAAAGTTACCCCGCAGGGTCAAAGTAACCCGAACTTACTTTCAGAAGTTACATAAATAATCATATCTGTTTGAATATCTGTGTATTCAGATCCAGGTGGGTCTTAACTATTAAAAGCCCTTTTTGTGGAGGAAAAATCATGAAATGACCTCTCGGACTCGCGCCTAGGGCATGGCGAGAGGGAGTGTCTGACTCTTACTGACTATAACCCACTCCATTCCATCTGGTGCTCCAGGTCGAAGCACTAAGGAAAAAAGACTATGACCTATGGCCCTATAGGGCTGATGATCAGCCGAAATTGCGGGGCAAGCGCAATAAGGCACCTTTGCCTCGGTTTAGAGTAGGAGAAGGAACGGGGGGGGGGGCTAAAAAAATGGCAAGAAAGACTACCTTTATTTTAATAGGTACTGTTTATGTCGTCAATGTGACGTGAGGAATATAATCATTATGTTTATTTGCCACAAAATGAAGTGTAAATCAGCATATTTTGCTACATCTAATTGATATACATAGCATTCAAACAGAAAAATTATTCCAAAGAGATAAAATAAAGCGAGTTCAATTTTCTTTAGAAATACATTGGATTATATGTACAAAATTAATTACTGACAGTAGCATTATTTTAAATAACTCTAATTTTTATGTGGACATATTATTATTACAATTACAAACTCATTTATTCTTTCACTTTTTAACGTCAAACAAAGATCTAAAGATGAGAGTCAGTCTGTCGACCAGTCGTTTAGTAAAGCTGTTTGCTGATTTATTTTAAACTGTATAATCGTTAAAATAAATCATAGTTTACAACTTACGGGCGAATGTTTTGTGAGATGATGTTTCCATGCATGGGTGTTGTTGAATCCTTTAAAACACAGATGGCACTGGTACGGACAGTTTAAGTAGTTGGAAGACTGCTTGCGCTTATTCATCTCTTCTATTTGCTCCTCTAACTGTGGATTAAGAGTAATATGGTACTAATTATTGCTTTTTTTATTAAAAAAAAAAACGTTTTCCCACACTAGAACTTTCTCCTGTGTCGTGGATGCTGTTACAAACATACAATTTCACATACACATCACACTCAGACCCGTAACGACAATTTGTGGATCACATAAAGAGTTGTTCCTTGCGGGAATCGAACCCGCGACACGTTGCGCGGCAGCCAGTTGCCCTTCCTTAGCGCCAACCGTGCAGTCATTGATGGAACAACAACGCAAAGGGCTCTGTAACTAAGCCTATATAAATTCTCCTGCCAGTTCCAGTTATTGGATACTTGACAATGACTCAAACTAAACATTGCAACATCATCATCATCAGCCTGATTTCGTATACTGCTGGACGTAGGCCTCTCCAATTGCACGTCACTGAGCTCGATGTTCAGATCATCACTCTACGGGTATCGTCTGTACACCTAGCTGTTAGGTGCCCTACACTACGTTTGCCCAGACGTGGTCTCTACTCTACCCCAACGGTCGCCCATTCTTCAACAAATGTGACCTGCCCACTGCCACTTCCTTTAGCCAATTCTTTGCAACGCCAATTGCTTATCATCTGGTAATTCCTAAGCTCGTTTGCCATTCTAGAGCATAAAAAATAAGATGATTAGGCTAACAGGACTTTATAGCTCACTAGCGCCAACTAGTGGGTATTCAAAGTGAACAAAACAAATTTTACTGCCTACGACGGCAAACGAGCTGTCGGATTCCCTGATGGAAAGGAATCGGCACCGTTCAAGCACACCCGCAACATCGAGAGGTTAAATTTTGCGCTTTGTTGACCTTTTCGGGGTAATGATTGGGGATAATTTGAGGTTACTGGAGGCCCAAGAAAATCTTAACCTTAAAAGGCCGGCTACCCACTCGTAACCATTTTGGTGTTACAGTTGTTCATGGGTGGAGACGATTGCTACAAACAATAAGGTAATCAGTCTGCTCTTGTTTGCTGACCTATCACATAAAAACTGCATTTGGGTGAATGGATATGGAGGTAAGAAAGGCTTCTGACATTTACCGACAATGTTACAACAGTAATATCATCCATGTCAGTATTATCTTCACTTGCTACAGGTTCCTTCATTCTTTTCTTCGTTTTGGTGGTCACTCTTTTTGATCTCCCTTCTTTCTTGGATGGACCCAGCCGAGTTTTTCTTACAGGTAATTTTGGCACATCTACTATTGTTTCTGGAAGCTGTAAATGATAATGTATGTTTTTTAAAATTATTCTGTTTCTGTCCATACTGAGACAGGATACATTGATACCAGCATTGATATGATGATAACTATATTCATTATTCCATAATTATGATTAATAAAATTAAAATTACTATATAAATTTAATTAATTAAAGATTAAGCTTGTCTTGTTTAGTTAGTTGACTAATTGGTAGGCAAGCATGTTTAAGGTTCAATTCTCAAGTAGTACAAAATATGTTTTAATCTAGTTTTAAAACAAATAGCAAGTCCAATTTAGGAATTTACAAATCTGCTATTATACTACAAAATATTCATGAAGTACAGATAAAATGTACCTCAGAACCATCAAGCTCTTCATCCATTTTGACCTGAATTTCCACCTTCTCCATATCCTGGAGTTTCTCACTCTTCTTGCTTTCATCATCACTAGAGCCATCATACTGGCTGCAATGATCAGGAATATCTAAATCATCATTTTCATGATACTCCTTTTTCACCTCTGTGACAAATACTGGCTGGTCTATGTCTAAACAGTCTGTGGTATCCTGTTCTATGCTTATCTGCGACACATTTGATATAGCAAGGAGGTTTGTCTTGACAATTGTTTTAATTAGAGTTGGTGTTAGCTGGAATAAAGATTATTAATATGATAAATTGAGATGGACTAGAATGATTATAATGTTTTTAGTAATTTTATTATAGTATTTTATAGTAATAAAAAAGTCTCTAAAGCATCTTTGTAAAAGGATTTTATAAAATAAGTCAAGGTGAAATATTTTTTGTTGCAAACGCTTCTATAAAATTCTTCGTTAATAAGATTTTTTAAAATCATATGCCTGTAAACAGCACACAGAAATCATGAAAAAACCTAATATGGCTCAGTAACACTGCTATAAAAGAAAATTATATCGGACACATTACCTTTCCACTATCATCAATCATTCCACACAACAGAACCTGACTTCGTAAACATTTCTCTCTAAATAAATGGAACTTTTTCACAAGGGCTGCGCACTGGTAGCAAGCATAGGGTGGCAAGTTGGTGTAGAGTGGCTAAAAAAAATAAACAAATTGTTTATAATACTCAATAATTTATAGTGTGACATATTTCTTGAAAAAATAAAAATATAAATCTTATTTTTTTTTTTACTGGAGTAAAATCTTTACACAAGACTATGTGAATAGTCTAAAAGTCAACCGTAGGGTGGTGCAGAAAATACTAACTTTTAAAAATAAGAACACAAGTGTCTATATAAAACTAGATTTTTACAACTTGTAACCAGACAACATGTAATGAAAGTATGAGACCCCTTTACTTGAGGGAAGAAAATCATCCAATGAAAATAAGTACGCGACACTGATTAGACACCTACTTATTTTCTGAAGGTAGGTATGAAGTACACAATCAAAACAAACCAACCTTGCTATCAATCATCATTGATGCAAAAAATGTTACTAAAGGGAAGGACATTAAATCCTGCATTTCTACATCCATGTTTAAGCAAATACGACATACTCGCAAGTCTCCCATGTTAAATTTATACTACTTTTAACGAATTAGTAACTATATAGCGAAATAAATAACGAAATAAAACGGAACTAATATGACTTTTTTATATACATATTTTATGAAATAGTTAGTTATACACTAAGATTATCAATTAACAAAGTACTCATTTATCTTAAATAATAATAAATTAACACGATTATGATATTGTCCATTCATAAATATGCAAAAACACTGATTTTTTGACTGTTTACATTTTCACAAGAATAACAATGGCAGGCAACTGAAATGTCAAACTCAAACTGTCACTGTCAAATACGTTTTGATAGTTTTGTATTCAGACAATTTGAGAGTCAAACTGAAAGTTCTTAGAAAATCAAAAACTTATTACATTAGCCAGTTATTAGTTTTATTATATATTTTCAAAATATTGTCCATTTACGTCAATACACCGCTGCATGCGATAGAACCACTGGGAAAAGCACTTTGCCCACTCGTCCTTAGGGGTCTTCAATGGCATCGCGATACGCAGGCACCGTTTCTTCAGCATTCATAAACCGGTTTCCTTTAAGTTTTTCGTTAATTTTTGGAAATAAATAAAAATCACAAGGTGCGAGGTTGGGGCTATACGGCGGGTGACCCAGTATTTCAACGTTTGATATCGCTAAATAGTCGATCGTTCGCTTGGCGGTGTGCGACGAGGCGTCCTTGTCGTGGTGAAGAACTCGAACTTTTTCCAAGACAAGTTCTAAGTGTAGGAGTGCCTATTTCGGCACGATTGGGTCGGCTCGACCGGAGTGATACCACGTCCTCACAGAAAACCGGCGTGAAATAACCACAGTGTTGTGTTTCGCCGTGTGAGTGAGGTTCTCTCTCCTCCTCAATCCCAAAATCCCCAAATCCCTAATCCCTAAAAGGTCGGCAACGTGTCCATGGGCGGCGCTGATTGCTTACCATCAGGTAATCCGTCAGCTCGTTTGCCGATCGTTAACATAAAAAAAAGTGGCAAACAATTAGTAGTGTACCATTCTGCAGAAACTGTTTTTTGATCCTCTAACACAATTGTTGCGAAATGACCTATCCTTCCAAAGAACGAGGCCACCATTTTTTTTTCTGCACTTCGATCTTTCTTCACTTTAGTTGGCAACTCCTCGAAAGAAAACACTCATTGAGCAGATTGTGTTTTGGTTTCAGGATCATAACATTAAATCCAGCTTTCGTCACCTGTTAGTATGTCGAAAACAGCATTTGAGTCACCTCCGTTAAATCTTTCCATCAGTTTACGGCACCAATGCCGCCTAGAGACTTCTTGGCGGGAAAACAATTCAATATCTGAGAGGCACTACAAAATGCCTTTGAAAAATTTTTTGCCAATATATAATAAATAAAGTTGTATAAATAAGTTACCAATGCATTGTCAAAGATGGTTATAACTTTGATAAAAAAATAAGCTTTATTTATTTAAAAAGAAATGGCAACTTCTTAGCCAATGCCTAATATTTATAAGAAAAGCAGACTGCCCGGCCTTAGTCAGCCTAATAGCTACGTATTTTTTGCTTTGCAATTCGAAAACGTTGCCCCACATCATTTTCTCCTGTGTCGTGTCGTGCGTTTATAAACGTACAATTAGAGACCTACCTTACCTACACATCACACCCAGGCCCAATACAACAATTTGTGGATCACACAAAGAGTGTCCCATGCGGATGTCTGTGCCCTGCAGGGTCCATAATTGATCTCACATAATTTTTATCACCTTTATATTATATGCACTTATGGTAAAGCAATAAAGATATTGAGAATTGAGTGTTGAATATTGGAATCAAACTCGCGACAAGTTGCGCACAGTTGCCTAGCCACCGCGGCCAACCGTACCTATAGCATACAGTAGAAATTGTACAAGTAAGGTGATAGTAGTTTTAAGTTTTAGAAGTGTAAATGAAGTACATATAATAAAGTACCTACTGCAAGTGTAATGTCATCCAGGGTCGCTTCGGAAAAGCCCGCGTGTATGGAGTAAAATCGACAAGCACCTACCTATTTATTGTAAAACGCTAATGCTTTGGTGTTATAAAACTTTTTTTATAACGTCAAAGGTATGTCGTAATTATCCGATGATATTCGAAGTCGTAGCACAATAAAAAAATTGTGAAAATCCCTCCATTTCTAATTCTATAGGTACCCCATTTCACGGTATGCACATATCTACGCACCATGTTTGAAACGATCCTTGATATTTTTTTATGAATTGTGCCCAATTATACTTATTCTTATTAATCTTGTGAGGTATTTTCGATACAACGTTCTCATATTTGTATTATTTTACAATATTAGATTGAAATTTAGTATTAATGATACTTATTATAAATAGCCGATGGTTAAGTATTCTTCATATGATATACATATGACACACACCACCATTACTCTTTTTAATAGGAATCTACAATTTAGAAGGACTCGAAAAAATTACCAAAACAATTGAGTAAATTGCTGTTGTTTTTATTGTATTTTATAACTAAATAAGTAATTAATTTATGGATAGAAAACCTAGATAGTTCTGCAGAAATCTAGTTATCGTTAAAAATATGATTTAATATTTTTTCCAAGCTCGGTGCTTATTTTCGCTTCGTCATAAACGAACAAAAGGAGAAACATGATTCATTCATCTAAAATTCTGAGAACACGGAATAGTTTCTGCAAAGTCTTCGGAGTCTTGTATCAAGTTAATCTGGATTTTTACTAAAATCAATAACGTCCACTTTGAGTTGAGCTCTTCGATAAAAACCGCAACGATCTATGCAGGCTAACTTAGGTGCGTAGATATACATAGATTGATCCAAACCGGATCTGGGCAGAACGAGTTCTGAGGAATTATTATTATTAAACGCATTTTGTATCTCTCTATGCGGGAACGAAAAGGAAAGCAAAAAAAAAGAATAATGCAGGCAGGCAGGTACTAATTCTTGTTGCATTGTTGTTAGCTGGTTACAATTCGAAAAACGCAAAATGTATCTAGGTACCTAAATGTGATAGAACCATGCTTCGCCACGAATGTTCAGCTCGACCGGAGTGATACAACGGCCTTACAAAAAACCAGCGTGAAACAGCTACAGCGTGAAACAGCTACAGCGTTGTGTTTCGCCGTGTAAGTGAGGTAACCGATAGCAAATTGAAGGCAGTTGAGTTCTAAGTCCAAAGCGATTCGGAAGAAAAGGAAGAAGTAAAAAAGAAGAAAAGTGAGTGAAATAGTGAAGTGTAGTGAGTTAAGTGAAAGTCAGCGTGAACTGTGAGCGGCAAACGGAAGTTTATGTCAGTCGCCCGGACTGTGCTGGAGAGGAACGCCGAAAACTTAACTCGGTGGACGCTGTCATTTAAGTGCGATAGAAAGTCTGAAAACCGGTATTAGTGTTTAATTTCATCCAATCCCGTAACCCAAGCCCGCATAGTCAGGAACGTGACGTCAGGCACGTAACATTCAATCATTCCCTCTCTTTCCCCCATGCAATCCCCAATCCAAAACTCAAAAAACTGTTGCGGGTGTCTATTTGCTGCCCCGATTGCTGACCATCAGGTAATCTCTCTCGTTTGCTGACCTATACCGTACCTAACTTAAAAATGCAACCGACGAACTCTAGTTCTCAGATTTCGTTTCCAAATTGACTTATAAAGATAAATAGTTGGTAATTTGGTATTTAAAATTAATGTTGTGTTTTAGACCAAAAGATAGACCTACAGAAAAGGGTTGCAGACTTGCAGATTATATTGAAGTAGGTACTTTAATTTATTATCAATGCTAGTCCAAAATTAGGCCAGGTCACAGGTGATTTTCAATGGGCTAATCGCTATTCACATCACCACATAATCAGCATATAATGCCCACTCTGAGCAAAGTCCTCTTCTCATTCAAAGAAGGTTTAAAGATCTAGAACAAGTGTAGGTAGTGATTAAGTAATGCTCAATCCTTTGCCGTAGCCGCTATTTAATTGTGACTAATTTCATAACCGCATTAGGTTGGTAGGTTTCTGCTTAGTACAATGGGGAATAACATTTATGCTAGCTAGGAATCTAACGTTATTTTGCAGTTTTTAATCACACTATTGTAGTTACCATTAGTTACCTATAGGTGCAAGTTATATAAAAACATTAGATATGCTTTAGTTCTCCCGTCAAAGGTAGAACACTTATTTGAGCCCGATTACGTGACCCCCTCCTAGGGCCAAAGCTGGACCTGCCCTTGAATCACTTACAGAAGCGCAGAAATCAATTTGAATACCTGTGGTATTAGGTCCATCTTGTACCTACATAAATCGTTGTGCAAAGACTTAAAACAATAGCTGAAAAATAATTTATATTATATTATATTTCATTTAATTAATAAATACCTACTGTCTACGTTTCTGTTGTGCGTTAACTTAATTCAAGGATAGAGAGGGAATCTAGAAAGGACAACATTTAAAATATGATATTATATTTTGTAAAAAAACATAGGTTTAGTAATGAGACACGTGTTAAACGAACTAAAACAACCTTACAAAAAGAGATTAGGTATGGTTATCTTGTTCCTTCATAAAAAAAACTCAGTCAAAGAAAACAGTGATGTTACAAAATAATAAGACCTACTTAAATAATTGATGGCAGTTATCAGTTACGAAAATATTAAGGCACAGAATACAGTTGCTAGCATATCAAACTACTCCAAACTATCAGATTTTACTAAATCAACTCTATTATTAAGGGTGTAAAGTTGAAAATGTCAAAAGCGATTTTAAGAGTCTGTGGTAGGTAGATGTGCTGTCGTGTTTAGAAAGAGGACGGGGTACGAGTTGGACTATGCGCATCGATCTGCGCGCGGCGCAGTGGCCATTATACTTAAGCCCATAGAGATTGATGATATTGTTACCTAGGTGTAGGTTATATATACCTACGTACTCCTACATCTAGGTACGTTTAGTTTAATCACGAATGTTCTAGTTGTCTCTTTCACACACGGTCTAATAACTAATATGTATTATAAACGCGAAAGTTTGTAAGAAGGTACCTATAGATGGGTGTTTGGCACCACGAACAGAAATTCTGGTCCGTGATTGGCACTCTTTCACGTAAAAATTACGAAACGGATTTAAATAAAATTTGGCATTACCTACTTTTAGCTTTTTATCCTGGTACTTATTTCGGACAAAGCCGCTCGTAAACGCTAGTCCTTTATAAATTGTTTAAATCCAAACTACTACTTAATACTTCAAATTATTATAAATTCGAAAGTAACTCTGTCTGTCT